GTGAAGGATATTTCTATGGACAATACATTTAGAATCGACATCTCATATTCTGGCCCAAAATATCTGCTAAATCTGGCAATCTCTTAAATTAGCCCCTTATAATTTTTATTATCCAGATAATTCACTAAAAAGCCTACTTTTATCTATTTAAATAATTGAGAAAAACATGTCTCAGTTTCTCAGAAGGACTGTTAACATAGTCTCAGTTATTGTCCAGAATGACTGTTAAAATTGCCGGTAGGATTGGCTGCCTTTTCCAAGGTTTCCACGTTCGACTCCAGCACTTTACCATGTATCACCCATGATGTTATTAAACATCACGTCCTACGACGTACACCTGCCCAGCAGGGAAGAACAACCCAGGACTGCCCGCTGGGGCCCAGGTCCACGTTGGCTGTTTTTCACTGTAGACCCAGCTTCTCAGATGTTATGTTCATACCCATGTGAATCACCTGGGGAGCGTGTTAAAAACACAGGCTCTTGGCCGGGCGCTGTGGCTCACGCCTGTAATCCTAGCTCTTGGGAGGCCGAGGCGGGCGGATTGCTCAAGGTCAGGAGTTCAATTTTGCTGCCAAATGTGCAGTTTATAGTGAGCAACTGTTTTAACTTTGTGGTTAATGCTTATTATTTCACAGTTTGCCTATACCAAACAAAAGGAACAGATATTTTTTTTTTTTTTTTTTGAGACAGAGTCTCGCTTTGTTGCCCAGGCTAGAGTGAGTGCCGTGGCATCAGCCTAGCTCACAGCAACCTCAAACTCCTGGGCTCAAGCTATCCTCCTGCCTCTGCCTCCCGAGTAGCTGGGACTACAGGCATGCACCACCATGCCCGGCTAATTTTTTCTTATATATTAGTTGGCCAATTAATTCTTTCTATTTATAGTAGAGACGGGGTCTCGCTCTTCTCAGGCTGGTTTCGAACTCCTGACCTCAAGCCAATCTGCCCGTCTTGGCCTCCCAGAATGCTAGGATTACAGTCATGAGCCACTACGCCCGGCCCAGGAGAGTTTTAGTTCCAGTGACAAACTCCTGTCAGCTGGTTGTAACAAAGATAGGCCATTCTGACCCATTAGAGAAAGCCAAAGTAAATGCGAAAGGATATTTCTATGGACAATACATTTAGAATCGACATCTCATATTCTGGCCCAAAATATCTGCTAAATCTGGCATCTCTAAATTAGCCCTTATAATTTTATTATCCAGATAATTCACTAAAGCTACTTTTATCATTTAAATAATTGAAAAACCATGTCTCAGTTTCTCAGAAGGACTGTTAACATGGTCTCAGTTATTGTCCAGAATGACTGTTAAAATTGCCGGTAGGATTGGCTGCCTTTCCAAGGTGTTGTTTCAGCAGATGGGAGCACAGGCAGAGAATGAAGAAGGCATGGGAAGAGAAACAAGATCAGAAAGATTGTCTAAACTGAAGAAACTAAGATTAGCCAACTCTATAACCCACTGCTCACTTCAGAGTTGAGGAAACTGGCATTTCTTACTAACTTGCATAAGGGCTGGAACCTACGTATCTGCTACTTTGTTAAATTTGGGCCTTGATCCTAGGATTTTGTCCTGTCTTTTTTTTTTTTTTTTTTTTGAGAAGTCTCGCTTTGTTGCCCAGGCTAGAGTGAGTGCTGTGGCGACAGCCTAGCTCACAGCAACCTCAAACTCCTGTGCTCAAGCGATCCTGCTGCCTCAGCCTCCCAAGTAGCTGGGACTACAGGCATGCGCCACCATACTCGGCTGATTTTTCAATATATATTAGTTGGCCAATTAGTTTCTTTCTATTTATAGTAGAGACAGGGTCTCACTCTTGCTCAGGCTGGTTTGGAACGCCTGACCTCGAGCAATCTGCCCACCTCGGCCTCCCAGAGTGCTAGGATTACAGCAGGCATGAGCCACCATGCCCAGCCTGATTTTGTCTTTTCAAAGAGCGTCAATAAAGATGATCTAACACGAGAAATTTATGTATACTCTTCCAAACTTCCTTCTCCCCTGAGGGTCTCGCTCTTGCTCAGACTGGTCTCGAACTCCTGACCTCGAACCATCATCCCGCCTCGGCCTCCCAGAGCGCTAGGATTACAGGCGTGAGCCACTGCGCCCGGCCTGATCTTCCATTTATATGATTTTATATGATTTATATGATTCCATTTTCTCTCTTCGCTTGGCATATCAATTATACTTTTAATTTTTTTTTACATATGTTTCATGGTTGCCCTAGAGTTTGCAGTATGCGT